AGTTATGGTCCGATATGCACAATTAATATCGACAGGAACTGAGATCTTTGGGTTATAAACATATATTTCAAGTTTAAACCAAATGGGATAAAAATTGTGACCTCTACAGTGTTCACAAGCTAAAAATGTGATTTTTCGTAAATCAAGGGCCATAATCCATGTAGATACAGTCCGATACATGCCAATATCGAAAGAAACGGAGTTCTTAGGGTGATAAACCTACACTTCAAGTTTCGTTGAATCGGATAAAAATTGTGACCTCTAGAGTGTTCACAAACAATTGTGGACGGACGGACGGATGGGGGCGACGACAATATACGTCCACATGAAAATATGGGCGTATAAAAACAAACAAAAAACAAAACAAAGATAAACAACAAGCATTCTGATTATTCATAAATGGCACAGAAAGTTGCCTTTTGTGTAAAAAAAAGCCACATATCTATTTTTGAACTATAATAGCCAAAGCGACCAGCTCTTTATCTAATTCTAAATCACACATAATGCATATCTTTATGCAGGAAAAACGTGGTGGTCCTGAAGCAACGACCGCGAATTTTAGAACATCTAGCGTTAATCAGAAGTACGGAGTTAAAGCGAGATCAAGCCTTCTATTGAAGATGGGGAAACGTAGGCCTATGTTCAATAGCCTACAACAGTTGTAAAAAGTTTGTAAGTTTTGTGTGAAGACATCAGACGATAGACACAATTCATAAACGTAAACAGTAAATTGAAGTAAAAGGAAAAATGCTCAGAAAATATTTTTCATTGAAATATTTCACACCGAAATCAAATAACCACAAGAAATATTATTCTTACCCTATCTGCACGGTTTCACGCTCAAAATGAAAAAAAACAAAAACAATTAAATGACGTCATGGCCATTGTCCAAAAGACTTTATAAAGCGGACGTGATTGGAAGCATATTTTACCATAGTAACTTTGGGCTCAAATAAACTAGCTTAATTTAAGTTTACAATGTATAACATGAACTTTTATCTAATTATATTAAAGCACGCGTTTTATTAATAAAATAAAGACTAATTTAGGTTTACAATGTATAACATGAATTTTTATCTAATTCTGTTTATGCACGTGTGTTATTAATAAAATAAAGACTACAAAATGAAGTCGCGTAAAGAGACATCTTCGATAGAATGCCTGATCTCGCTGAACACGGTCGTTGCTTCGGGAACACGTAAGAAAGTCGTAAGCGGTTATAGTTAAAGGGAGATAATTCGGCGAGAAGGAGACAGAACAAGTGGTCCCGGCCTAGCAATTATTTGCCCATTGACTTCAATGTTAAATGGCTGTAACATCACAGGCTGTAGCTTTTTGCTCGACATTCCGTTGGTTCCAATCCTTAAAGGCACAACGGGGACCACATTTGGCAATCTCCATATCATAATTTTGTAGGGGGTTGACAGCTTAGATTTTTTGCTACGGGCATGTAATAGTTATATACCTTGTTTTCAAGGTGTATGGGTTGATACACCGTCTATTTTTTGAGTGCGGCTCCAAGGCGAAGCCGAGGAGATCTCCGCTCAAAAACGAGACGGTGTATCAACCCATACACCGAGAAAACAAGGTATATAACTGACTTATACTAAATACTTTTTCTAGAAATAAACGTTTTTTCTATTTTTTCAAATTTCAAAAGCATTTTTCATTTCACAGATTTATCAAAGTTCCCATACAGAGCCCCTCAATCATCTCATCGCAAACGCTTATTTCTACTCAGGTAAATGATGTCAGTTCACCGCATGTGTATTTCACGGTTTAAATCAGGGCCGGGAAAATGTTCATAACAGGGCTATTAGGCCTGTAGCCAAAATTTCTAGCATGAAGTTCCGCTACATGGTCCTCCCGAAAAAAAAAACATTTTTGGAAAGCATTTAACACCAGGAACACAAATCCAGGGAGTTCCAAGCAAAAAGTCTGCACTAACTCGATTGAGGGCCAGATGAAAATTGTGATAATTGTCAAGTAAATGCTATATTTATACTAATAATTGTGAAGTTGACAGAAAATTAAATATTTGCGAAAACACCCGATGCCTTCATCCTCTGCAAAGAATATGCTGTTGGTTAAAATGTGATTTAAAGCAAAATGCAGAAAACATAATGGACAGGGAAACATACAGAATTTCGGAAATCCATTTATGGTAAAGGGAGTTGTCTCCCTTTATGGAAAATATCAATAATTATTGATAACAGTAAAAGGATTTAACTACAGACAAGGGCCTATAGAAGTTCAGCTTTTTTTTCAGATAGAATTTGAAACCTAAAGGTCTAACAAATATTTAACCTGAAACATATAGCATCTACAGATATTTAGTTTTCTCACTAAAATAGATATGGCCAAAACTAAATAGTACTGTAATGGGAGGGACAATATTGTAATGAAGAGAAAAAATATAATATCTGTATCTGTACGTGTACAACTAGTATGTTTCCCCGTGTCCGTGGCTCACTAATCGGGGGGTCTGATCCGTGTTGACCTAGACAGTTCCCCAAACTTTCCAGCGTTGTTTCCCCTTGTCTGTGGTACAGGAAGCGGGGGGGGGGGGGCTGTGATGGGCAGCGTCCAGTTATTCGGATGGAATATGAAACTGAGGTCCCGTGCACACATTGACGTGCACGTAAAAGAACTTTAAATTCGAAATAAAGAGTAGACCGTAATGTATGGCGGGCCTATGTACATCTTTATTATGACGGTTGATTTTTTTTCTCTTCATTACAATTAGCACTCACTTACAGTATAATTGTATATTTGTGTAATTAATTTAAAATAAACAACCATCACAGCTTTGTGGAAAATTCATTTTAGTTAATGATTGATTCATTCAGAAAATTTGGGTGACAAATTTTTCAGGCAAATAGGCTCAGCCCCCACCCCACCCCAAATGAGATTAGCCCCCTATGCCCATGTAGCCCCTTACCTGTTGTTCAATCCGATTCAGTTTGTTGAATCAAATATTGTTTAAACTATTGTTTTCCCTCCCATCCGAACGACTGGGCATTGTCCTTCCAGCCCACTCCCACCCCGTACCACTGACAGGGGGATACCGCACCGGGGTTGTCTTGTACATGTACATATCTAATCTGTGTAAGTGTAGTAATGTGAAAATGAAACAAAAAGACTGTTAAAGAAATCGAACTTGATATTTATACATGTAGTGACAGTGATGATGATAACGACCAACTTTGATGACATTTAAAGTGCAGGGTAACTGTGTAATTTTGATTTTCAATAATTGATTTACTTCAATAAAAAGTTTTTGTCTTAAATCTATATTTGTAAGTAAATTATACAATTATAGATACGGTTTCAGTTTAAATGTTTTTAATTCGACTTTAAATATCTGAACTAGAGGTTTACAGCTATCTGTAGTAAAAATAATGTAGGGTCTACTTGAAAGGGTATGTTGGTGTGGGTTTATGTTTTAGTGGGAAAAGTCGCGTGGTTTCAATGCGATTTACAAAACTACGGACATAGTCTGGTCTCCATTACTTCATAGACATATTGCTCAACCAATGTTAAACATATCTCCTTGCTCATCAGACTAGGCGCTTCGCCCATAATTTCTGGGTAAACACCCGTTCACCAACCCTTGCAGTCCCCTGTGACCCCATTAACTATATAAATATTGGGCTTGTGTGCTCACACATGGTCTTGTGCGTCATACAGCATCAGCAGTCAACACGCACCTGAAATACTGTTACCAATTCCAAACATTTGACATAAAGGGAGATAACTCTCTATTACCGTTAATGGATTTCCGAAATTCTGTATGTTTCATTGTCCATTATGTTTTCTGCATTTTGGTTTAAATCACAATTTAACCAATAGTGTGTTCTGTGCCTAGGATGAAGGCATCGGGTTTTTTCGCCAACATTAATTTTTATGTCAACTTCACAATTATTAGTATAAATATAGCATTTACTTGACAATTATCAAAATTTTCATCTGGCCCTAAATAGAGTAAGTGCAGACTTTTTGCTTGGAACTCTCTGGATTTGTGTTCCTGGTATTAAAAGCTTTCTAAAAATGTATAGTTTGTTTATTCGGGAGGACCATGTAGCGGAATTGTGTTTCTAAGCAAGCTAGAAATTTTGGCTGCAGGCCTATATTGATTGGTTAAGAAAAGCAAACGTCATGCATTTTGTACAATAGTCATTTCTTGTTGTTTTTCCAACATTCTGGCTGTGTCGTCGATTGTAGTGGATGACAGAAAATGGATGCTGAATTCGACGAAGAATCCGACTGTATAATGTCACAGATGTATATTCCTGAAACCGAGAATATCAGTTATAAGCTAACTCGCAATCAACGCGAGAACCGATTTAGAAGCCCCATCACAGAACAAGAAATCCTATCCATGCAGAAAAGTCGAATTCCGCCAAACAGGAGACAAAATACCAATGGGTGTATTAGCATTTATGATTCTTGGGGATGTTCTAGAAATACTTCCGTACACAACAATGGAGTAACTTCAAGTGAACGCTTTTCTCTGGTCCCACCTCTATCGTCCGACATACCAGCTGATATTCATGTTTATTGGATGTGTCAATTTGTTTGTGAAATTAATAGACAAGATGGTACACCATATCCAGCTAGTACACTGAAGAATATATGCATAGGAATACGGCGACACTTGCGAGATGAGTACAAGAGATATGATTTGAATTTTTGTTGGTGATCAGAAAGGTACTTATGCTAATTTCAGGGCTACATTAGACGCACAGATGAAATCATTCAATTCGCGGGGTATTGGCATTCACAAAAAAACAAGCTACAAGAATTATCATGGTGGATTGAAAGATTGTGGCAGAATTCAGTTTAGATGCGTAAAATTCTATTTCATTTTGATTTCATATGTATGTACTTTCTTGACGAATCCATTGGCTTTTTTGTTAGCTCGTGGCGGCTTTTTCTTCTTTCTTTTTTTTTTGGCCTGTTAAAATTAACTGCTTTCTTAAATTAAATATCTTTTTCAGGAATGTTAAACAGTACACGTAAGAAGAAAATGACAGATGCTATGTAAAACTGCTCAGTCTATATTTAGAGAATATTGGAGACAAAACCGGGCCATTCTATCGCAGAACTCCTGCTCCGGGCAAAAGGGGGAAAATCCTTTTCTCCGAACAAGTGATAGGGTTGCATACGATACAGAAGCTAATGAAAACTATCTGTTCCGAGGCAGGATTGGAGGTAGCTTCACCGGACTTTCTAGTAAGATATGTTTTTCAGTTTTGTAGTATGATTTTTATGGGTATATAGTTCTTGGCACAGATTGGCCCAATGTGTATCTGCATAGCGTTATCATTCTTTTATTCAAATCCGGTTTTAAGGTAATAATGCTTTGTTTTTCATTTTCAGGTTACCACAGCAACAACATTTTTTAATAATAAGGTTGAAGAGCAGCTCATAATGGAGCGAAATGGTCACTGGAGTTCTGCAGTGAGAAGCTATAAAAGAACAAGCTGTCAACTACAAAAAGAAATATCCGATCTGCTTCAACCCCCTATTAGGAAAATGAAGAGTCAGAATAATACAAAATGTAAAACCGCGACAAAATGTGAAACCGCGACAAAATGTGAAAGTGCAGAAAGGGCGACAAAATGCGAAAGTGTGGAAAGGGCGACACAATGTGAAAGAGCGACAAAATGTGAAAGGGCGATAAAATGTGCGACAAAAAGTGCTGAGAAAGGTGAAAATGATGACTCTCTTACTATAACCATTACATGTTCAAAAAAGGTTTCTAATGTTCAAATAAATATGTAAATCATGTATTTGTTATTTTTGTCCCTTTTCAACTGATACACGGCCACTTTTCAACTGATACACGGCCACTTTTGAAAAGTGGCTGTGTATCGGTGTATACCCTCCCCTTTCCATCAATGAGTCGAGAAAAAGTATGGGTATAATTGATGTTGACTGGGGTGAAAATCTTACTTCGGACACAATGATTGCTCTGCAGAAAGACACTTTGCACCCCCTATCCCTCCGCTGTAATATCATCAGTTTTACCCAAAACAGCTATGAAATTGTAAAATTGATCCCTTTCTCCAATTCTAGACCAAAAAGTCAACTAAAATATGCAGGAAGAGGAGGAGAAAAAAATGAAGGGAAAATTGTCTATTTATAACTCGCACTACATTGTCATGAAAGAAGGGAAAATAATTACTAGTCTTACTCTTAGTCCAAGTATGTTGAAATCTATACAAGTTCCCGGCAAGAATTGTACTGGCATCGCAAACGTGTGTACACATCGAGGAAAAAGTTTTATTCTACGTCAAAATAGCTGTATTCCAGAAATGACTTTCTTCATATTATATCTACAATCAACCAATTCTTCAGTTGTAGAACTATCTGTGTGTAATAGTTTTTATAAGGCAACAGTGAGAAATAGGGTTTAACTGCCACTTGACACAAACTAGGTTATTTCGGGACAAATATGTTTCAATTTTATTTCAATAATTCGTTCGCACGTAGGGGTCATTTGCATGCAGTGGTAAATATATTTGTAGTAAACAAACTACGGAAAAAAGAAACATTTACTTATACGATCTTTCGCAAGCATTTAATGTTTGAATTTTAATTGTTGCTAGCCTTGTAAAAAAAAAAACACCTTTATTCTTTATCTGCTTCCTTTCGAAACACAACCAACCGCGTGGGTTTGCGCTGAGTCCTTCGGTTTCCTCTACTTCTAAACCCCTACGCGCAAGCGATTTATTGAAATAAAATTGAACCATATATTGGTCCCGAAATGACATATTCTTTGTCGTCTGGACGTTAAACTCCATTCCCCTTTCTCTCTTAATCTCTATACTCAATAAACATAATTTCCAATCCTCCAAATCTGGTTGTAAGCGTAGAGCCAGTATTGTAGTTTTATACTATATGTCTCGAGGCTCTTTCCGTTGCCTTCTCATTTGAGGAGTTCACATCATGACTAAAACCCTTTTAATTTTGAAAATAAATCTTTCAGAGCAATTTTTCGTAATTTTGAAAATAATAACTTTCAGAGTATTTTTCGTAATTTTGAGAATATATTTTTGAGAGCAATTTTCGTAATTTTGAAAAGATATCTTTCAGAGCGGTTTTCGTTAGGTTGAAAAGATATCTTTAAGAGCAGTTTTCGTAATGTTGTGAATATATCATGTTAACATGCAATGTTACCATCCATTGTTTTATGTATTTCGCTATATTCTTGGTCATGGGTGGCTATGGTAATTTTCAAATCTGGTTTCTGCTTTACCACGTCTTTAATAAATGAGACTGTTTCCGAACTTGATTCGAAATAAATATTCTCAAATCTTCATTTTCGATACATTTGCTGTTCAAAAGATCAGTGGTGTTATGTCATATTTTGTACTATTAAAACGGTCGCGGATATGTGTATACATAATATTTTCATAATTTGCTGAATATTATATACACTCATCAGCAAGTAAGCCTTTATCTTGAACTCTCAAATTTTCTCCGAGTTTTCCTTTCAGGGAAGAAACCTTTCTGACGTTCTAATTAATTATTTTTTGGGAATTTACTCTTTAAAATGTCTTACCTTCAAATCTGTATATTATCATTTTCAGATGCTTAGCTTCAAATATAAATTATTAATTATTACTTGTTGATTGAGAAGTCAATCAACTTAATTATCGACTACAATAACAGTCATATCCTGTGGTTCATAATCCGAGCATTTAACGGTAATTTTGATATTCCGGTAAAAAAAACAAAAAAAAAAGAAAACAAAAAAAAAAACATTCTGATTATTTATAAATGGCCCAGTAAGTTGCCTTTTGTGTAAATAAGCCATGTAGCGATTGAAGACGTTCTCGGCATTGCGAATCTCGGGATTCGCGCCGTATTCGAATATAGTTGAAAATAATCCACTGATAGAACACATAATACACCGAGAAACAGCCATTAATAATATATTTTTCAGGTCTCAAGTACGCCTATCTCCAGGTTATTGCACGCAAGTAATTATCCGGTTAGATATAACGACACCTGATTTTAACATATATAGAAGTGAGACTTTCAAAATAAAAACCTATTCGCTGCTATCAGTTTTGATCCTTAACTTATTTGTTAAGTTTCCCCAGAATAGGACAACAATTATTGTAGTCTCTCTGGAAGGCCCCTAAAATTCATACATATTTCACATTTTTCGTAAAAAGCAGGGGCTATAGCTCTAAAATGTAAGTTCTGATGCGTAGCAAAGTCGAACTCATCCAAGAACCTTTGATCCTTATAAATTGTTTAAGTTTCATCTCATGAATCGGACAACAATTCTCACCTATGGAAGGTCCATAAACTTCATTCATATTTCACATTTTCGGTAAAAGGCAGGGAGCCAATGCGCACCAAAACTGAACTCAACTAAGAACTAGTGATACTCGTTTTAAGTTTCCTCTAAATCGAATAAAAATTATGACCTCTAGATGGCCCACAACCTTGACAATACATGCTTTTATACTTTTTGCGTAAAGGGGGTTGACGTTATTATGTAACGGTGATATATTTGAACGGTTTTGTAAATAAGATCAAAATGATGACTTCTAGAGTGTTCAGAAGCTAAAAACGTTATATTTACAGGGTCATAATCCAGAAATTTACGGTCCAATACGTGCCAATATGGAAAAGAAACCATAGCTTTGGGATATATTAAATTGTATAAAAATTCACAACCTATGTATTACCTGCTTTTACAATCAAATAAAAACTGTGAGCTCTAGAGGGTTCACAAGCTAAAAATGTATATATGACAAGTGATGATCCTATAGCGCCAATATCGAAAGAAACTCAGATCTTTCGGTTATAAACATATATTGTTAGTTTCATCAAAATCGTATAAAAATTGTGACCTCTAGAGTGTCTATAACCTTGGTATTATTATGTATTATATTTGTCAAGTTCAGTATCGCAGGAAACCACCATCGACTGTGTTTACATGGTTAGGGATTTAGAAAGGATATAAAATTTCAATTCATTGCTGAATAATTTCATTAGACACTCCATGGAGCTTCTGGGGCCTAGGCCTAAAGTCCGTGGATGCTAGCCCCCCAATCAGGCCGGCCCTGTTGTTTTCCGCCACAATCTCCAATGACATGCATCTGTTGGAATTAGGTCAATAAACCAAACGATGCTAGATGTTTTGAATAGCGTTCACCGTTATGACTATTCATGTTATACACACGCTGACAGAGGTTAAATTTTGAATGTTGTTATTATTATTGAAAGCTATGTCATAGTGGTACAGAATTTTATTTTTTAATTGTAAAGCAATTTCAATTATGGTTGTCACGTGGTCACTGTGTCGTTTATCTATCGACAAATGAATAAAAGCTTTTGCAAGTTACGTGATAAACAAAAACAAAAATTTGTGGCAAATATGAATAAATACCACGGTGCTGATCAGCTTATTTTGGCAACGACTGATGAACTACTATTATTAAAATTACGAACATTTTGCTTTTCAGAAGGATTTACAGTGTACCTATTTGTCGTTATTTTTTGTGGTAATCACATACCATTGGCCTATACAGAATACGACATTATACTTACCCTATTTACTACCGGGACGTCATTTGGTCCAATTCTGACCGGTTCATTTCAAAATGGATTAAGAATCCTGGTTCTTCACTCATTCATTTTGTTACTGATTTAACAATTATTTTATTCCACATACGATTTTTTTTTGTCTTTATTAGTATGCAGCCTATTGCTCACGTAAAGCGAATTTGCTTGAGTAAATTTAACCACTCGCCATACTCGCGCAAGTTCAATTTTGTGTTCTGTTGTTATCTCTGTAGCAATCAAATATTAACATTTATTTATGATTTAATATTTCATACATATACATCAGGACACGGAATGCCATTTACATAAATGTTATTATTTGGTGGCTACAGAGATAACAACAGAGCACAAATTTCAAACGCATAATTCTCAATACTTAAATATTTCAGATTCGTCGGTTCGCCAGAAAAGCGACGAATTACTCGCTTTAATTTTCTTCGTGACAAGCCCTGCCACGTCATTTTTTGTTTAAAGATACATTATGTAAGAGCTAAATCTGCCTATTGTGGGTCTTTATTTGGCCTCAAGTGTTATAATAATTCAGGTTTAGACATTTATATTAACATGAAAAGCCCATAATCAACTCTCTAGAGCATTGGATGGCAAAACCCGCGAGATTAAAAAAAAGATAACGATAAAATGGATAATCGAGACTTAGTCTCATTTGTCCAGTACTCTTTGCTACGTCAATAAACAATCTACACTACATCTTCCAATACACATAACTTCGCTCATAATAAAGTAACTTGGATGACATTTCAATATATTTATCTATTTTTGAACTATAATAGCCAGAACGGCATGCTCTTTATCTAATTCTAAATATCTCTATGCAGGAGAAAGTTCATGGTCCTGAAGCAACAAGAGAGAGAGAGAGGGAGAGAGAGAGAGAGAGAGAAATCGGGTTTAACGTCCACTCGACACAAACTAGGTCATTTCGGGACTAACATATGGTTTAATTTTATTTACATAATTCGCTTGCGCGTAGGGGTCTTTAGCAGTGGGAGGAAACCGGAGGACCCGGAGAAAACCCACGAGGTTGGACAGGCGACCCTACTCCTTGCCACGTACAACCGGGGATTCGAAACCACGCCAGTCGACTCAATGACAGACTTTATGATAGAGCGCGCGCACGCTAACCATTCAGCCCCCCCCCCCCCCCGAAGCAACAACATCTAGCATTACGGTG